CCACATCAGAAGGCTGTGTTCATCCTGCAGCCTTTACTGAGCTCCTACTATGTGCTCTGCTGGTATCAGGCTCTGAGATGATGGGGTGGACAAGACAGGCATGGGTGCTTCTCTCCAAGATTCTCCATCTAAATTGCAATCCAAGGCTCACTGCACTGTAAATCAAAGAGGATCTAGGACCTTCTTGGCTTTTCTACTGTAGGCAGTAGGGAACCACTGAAGGTCCTCAAGCAAGTATTTCTTGTCTGCTTCTTGCTCCCTGCCACCAGGCGTGGAGAAGTATGATGTAGAGATACCAGTGTGATGTAAGTTATTAAAGAGCTTCAGTCTAGTCGGGAAGAAACACCAAGGCTGATGATCTAGTTGGAAGTTAATGTAAGGGGAGTCGTAAGTAAGACGGTATAGTGTTAGCTTTCGATGTAGGTGAGCTTTAACTTTACTGTGCCTCAGTTTCTTTGATGGGGATAATACTAGTAACTTTCCTCATAAATTCGCCATTAGGATGAATGAGCTAGTACATGCCATGTGAGCAGAATAGCGCATGGCACGTAACGAGCTGTAATGAAGGATCGTCATCAACCGTCATGGTCACCTGTCGTCATCATTCAGGGATGGGGTGGCAGAGAACCTTGGAAGATGAAGGGACTCTAGATGGACAGATAGATGTGGTATGATGAAAGTAGAGGACAGGAAAGAGGAAAGGCTGACAAGTTACAAGAGGAAAAGTGACATTTTTTAGCAAAAATGATGTCTGTATGATTTAGGTCAAGATAGAGTGGGTGTGAAGGCACAGATGGCTCCAGCCCTGTGGGTGGGACACACATTCTCTGTGGCCCACTCCTTATCTGGGTGGGGGTGCTCTTCCTCTTGCTAGAAGTCACATGGGATGCCCTGTGCCCACCTGGTGATTCTATTATAGTGGCCATGGGACTTGCTAAGAGTCTCTGCTTCTTAGAGCATCAGGTCACTCCCCAGTGACCAAAATGAAGACTTTACCTGTGTCAGAGCCAGCAGGTAGTGTGGTAGTTAAGGAGCTAGATTCTCACATGGCTAACCATAGTTCAAGTCCCACACCCAGCAGCTTGTAAAAGCACACCAAGCGCATGTCCATGTTTGCCCAAAATTCCAAGAGGAGAATGGAGAAGGGCTTGCAGTGTGGCCTTATCCCCTGGAGGGTGATTTCTCACTTTCCTTCTCTCTCTGTGTCTCTCGGTTGAGCACACAGGCCTCATGGCATCACACACACACACACACACACACACACAAACACACACACTGATCCTCATTGATGAGTGGGCAGAATGAGCCAGCATTTTGTGTCATTTTTAAAATAAAGCAGAACTCAGCAGGGTGTATAGGCTCTGTAAAGCTCCTAGACTATTTTGTTGTTAAGGGTTGTTTAATGGAAACATTAGAGAATCACTCTTTTTTAGGGGGGAGGTGTTCCTCTGACCCTAAGCACCCAGCCTTTTCTCCTGGCAATACCCCAGTATTCCCCAGAGCTGAGAGCACAGCCCTTGTCCGTGGCTGGGGACACGTGAGCACAAACCTATTTTTCTCAGTGCCCTGGATGTGCTGGGTGCCCTGAGAACAGCTCAGCCATCTGCCTCCAATGCCAGGGGCTTAATCAGAGTGGATGAATCCCATGCCAGCTGCACGGAGATGTGTATGCCCCCCAGGAGACACTGCACGGGCCAGCGCCTGTATCTGCTAGATCATAACACAGTTCCCCATTCTGTCCTGTCTTGGTCCGTTCCAAGAGACAAAACCATCTGCCTACTTCTAGCGTTGTACCCACGCACAGAGACCAAGCTTTCGCGTTGAGGACCTGAGACTCTGGCAGGTGAATAGAAACTGGGGTCTTTGCCCTTCAAAGGTCACTATGTTATTGATCTCATTCACACAGCAGACACTACCTTTGGGGTGAAGCTTTGGGGCAGTGTGTATCTGTGGGTGCTCACCCTGCAACTAGAGGTGGACCCTGGAGGTCTGGAATGGCTGTGCGGGAGTCTGCGTGTTCAGTTCTTCTCCAACATTGTTGCACATTGGAATTATTAGAGATTTTTAAGTCCTTATTCCCAGACTGTGCCCCAAACCAATTAGGGGTGACCCCGAGGCATCTGTGTTCCTAAGATCCCCAGGTGATTCCACCGTGTAGACAAGTTAAAGAACCACTGGTCTAGATTCTCTTCTGTCTCTCGGGTGAGGAAAGAACTAGGGAGCCCTCAGGGCTGGGCCCGCCGGCTGATTGGCTGGCCTACTTTGGCAGGTGATTCATTCCGTCCATGGGTCAGATCTGGTCTGCCAGATTCAGCGTGGGCAGCAGCTGTCCCAGACCTGGCTGCTGACACTCTACGGGTGTGAAGTTCCTAGTGAAGCCCACACAGGCCACTCGACGCTTTCCCATGGAGTCCCCCCCTCAGCTCCCCCCACGGCACAGAGGACCGGGCCTCAGAATGGCGAAGTCAGGACTGTGTCTTCTGTGTCAGTCCTGGGAGGCGGAGGTGCCCACAGTCTCTTGCGTCACTTCCCTGAGTTTGTGGTGGGAAAAAGAAAGAATAGATGGATTTATCTGCTGAAGAAAAGGGAACAGGAAGAAGAAGAAACCTCAGGTCAAGGAGGCCGGACTTTGCTGTATTTAAAACCAAGGCTAGGAAGTGGCCTTTGAAAGGCACGACACAGCTGCCTTTTCTTGTGAGGAAATGGTTTTAGCTCAGTTGGAAACTATGAGAGGAGGTCTTCCAGAAGCATCTGGTATTTTCTTTCCATTCCTTTTGTTTTGTTTTTAAAGTTTTTGCCAGAGGGGTGAGTGTGTTCACTGAAGAGGAGAGAGAGGGAGAGAGAGAATGAGAAATCATCCCCCAGAGAGGATGGCCATGATACAATCCCTTTTTCATTTTCCCCCTGGGATTTTGGGCATGTGCCCATATGCTTGGTATGATTTTCAAATCACCAGGTCTGGGTCTCGAACTGCAGTTGGCCATGTTGGAGTCCAGCGCCTTAACCACTAGGCCACCTCCTGGCCCCTTTTCCTTCCACTCTTTATTTTTTTGGAGATGAATGCCTGAGAAACACAACCTGTGGGGTTCAGAGCGAGTGGTAGTAACCAGGTAACTTGTCCTTCCCCTGGAAGCTCCCAGAGGAAGGGCAGGGTAGGGCAATGACTAGGCACGTCTGGATCCACAGAGGTGTTCCCAACTGCTGGGTCCTGGGGGTTGCGGAGGGACCACCAGGAGCTCACCAGGGGAAGGGAGGAGGATTGAGAGGCTCCATTTGGAGGGTCCCTGGATTAATGGAGTGACAGTGAATGAAGACAGTCTGTAGGTTCACGTCACTTGTTACTCACCTCAGGCAAATGGGAAGTATCCCAGGGTCTGCCTCCCCGAGGGTGGCCTTCCACAGAATCTAGGTCCGTTCAGAGACAAGTGGGCACGTGGGCAAGGCTGGGCCCTGTGTCCTAGCAGCTGCATCCTGTTCTAGAGGTTAGAATGCCTCCTGACCATCATCCCAGGTGACACTGAGCCCCCAGGTCCTGAGGACTCTGGTTCCCAGCCCACACATCAGATCCATCTACGACCCACATTCACAAGTCGGGTCACTCACGGGCCCTGGCTTAGCTGCTGCTCATCCCAGCCCCACAGCATGGAGTATCAGTGGTCTTTATGGGCGCGACGGGCCTGCCTCTTGGACAGGGCAGAGTGTCCTAGGATGGCAGCATGCTGAGGTGGGCAGAATATGGGCCACACCTAGATGGACTTGGTCATGGTCCCTGGTCAGCCACTTCCTGATGGTGGGGACACAGGCACCCTGCTGAGCCTCCCTGAGCCTCAGTTTTATCACCTGTAAAATAGGAATAGCATACGTGGCGTGTGAGAGAAGAAACTCCTGCACAGTGTGGTTCTTGTCGGAGATCGGGCCATGGAGGAAGAGAACTGAGGGAGCTGATGGGCTGGGAAAGAGGACAGCTCCTGTCTGTGTGGAGAGTGGGCGGCTGGAGCCACGCACAGACCGGCCATGCCAACTGCTCCCATCAGCCATGGAGCCCGACGTCTCATCAGCTCATGGGATCAGGGAGTGGGAGGAGGAAGCCACAGCATGTTCCATGTGACATGTCTTCCACACTCGGGCCTGCTGAAGGAAGGACGGTCGGGTCACACTGGGGTGGGGGGGACGTCATGTGTGACTGGGTGGTGTATGAGGTTTGAAGCCGCCGTGAAATTCCCCGAAGCCAGACACCCGCAGGACAGGGTCAGATGGTATCAGAGTCGTTCCTGTCAGGGCCTCCGTTTCCTGGTTTGCCAAAGGAAGTTGCTGATCCAACTGAGTCTGCTCTGTTTCTAAGACCAGGCTAGTTTCGGGTGGGTTTTGACAACTTGTTCCTACACTCCCAGCCATGGGGCTGGTGTGAAGATAAAACCAGGAAGTGGCCCACAACGAGCGTCAGAGAAATCCAGAGAATCAGCCCTGGGACAGAGTTGCCCAGACCCCAGAATCCATCCCTGAACTCTCTGCACCATGTGAGACATGGAGCTCCATCTTCCCAGCTTCACTCTTCCCTCATGCTGCCTGGGGCAGGAGGGCATCAGAGCTGTGAGAACAGACCCGGACTTCCGGTTTAGTTCTGCGCTTACTTATGGGAGGGCGTTGGGCAAGTTGCCAGATGCTCTTAGACTCCAGAGTCTCACCTGTAAAGTGTGTGGTGGTGGTGGTGGGGGGGCGGGCAATAAACTACCCTGCAGAGTTTCGGTTTGTGGGAATCACATGGCACAGAGCAGGTACTAAGTGACTTGGAGGGATTTAAGTGACTTCTCGGGTGGCCAGCTAGGCGGTGGCACAGCCGGGATTTGACCTCTCACTGTTCTCACTCTGAGTCCATGCGCTTAGTTTCACTGTGTGGGCTGGGGCTCATGTCTTGGTCAGAGAGACCCCTGGGAGGGCAGTGGTCAACCCCTTCTCATCATGAGAACCCCTGTCTACCCACGCCCACCACTCTGTTCCAGAATGTCTGTAAACCGGTGGAGCCACAGCGCCCGCCCACGCTACAGGAGATCAAGCAGAAGATTGACAGCTACAACACCCGGGAGAAAAACTGCCTGGGCATGAGGCTGGTGAGCAGCACCCCTGTACCCCTATACACCCACCTCGGGTTTGGCTCCTCTGTCTCCCTCTGGATCCTGGGGCTACTCCCTCGCAGGGTCCTCCCCTTTCTTTGGGCCTTTCGAGACCCCCGGGGTGTGGGAGGCTGATGGCCTGGGCTGCCAGTGGCCTCCGTGCGCTTTCAGGAGCTAGAACAGGCTTGGGAAAGAGATCCAGATCCCATCTCTGGCCCTTCTGCGTTTTCATTTGTGACTTTGGGAGCCTTCTCTCTGAGCTTCGATGTAAACCAGAGGTGGCTGTGCCCACTTGTCAGCGACCTTGTGGGAATTCAGTGATAGCCAGTCACCAAGAGCCTGGTATAGCTTGTTCCCCAGGAGCCTTTGACAAGAGGCGTGCCACGGTTCTCTTCCAGCCTGTCGGGTTGTGTGGAGCTCAGGGAGGGGAGGGTCCCCAACCTTGCATCAGTTTGAGAAGGGACATCTTCAATGGGATGTGAACTCCCTGCCCCCTGCTGGTGACTGGCAGCAACGGCTCTTTGGGGCTTCAGCCAGATGGAGCACCAGAAAATCCGGTCACAAACGGACCCCAGTTTAAGACGTAATGGCTGCGATTCTTTGTAAATAGCTACAAGAGGAAGTCCAGTAGACTGGGTCTCCGAGGGCCTTGTTACAGTCCTCCTGCTCCTCCTGGTTCGGAGATGTGAACTATCCACAGAGAGGCCACCACAGAACCAGCCTCTTAGAGACCCACCAAGGCAACCTGTGTCTGCCCAGCAGCCAGAGCTTTGGGGCGGCCATCCTGTGCCTCCTGGGAGGTGTTTTAGTCTGTTCTGTTGCTAATAACAGAAAATACTTGAGTCTTGTCATCTCAGAGAATCAAGGTTTATTCAGCTCACAATTTCAAGGGCCAAAGTCCAGCCAAAGGCCACATCTGGTGGGCATCTGCTAATAGTTTTCCTGTTGGTGGGGTCCTGAGCCCGTGCAGGGAGGGCCTGCCATTGTGGGAGGACAGAGCATGCATCTGTGTCACTGTGTGTGTCCATGTGTGTCTCTGTCCTCATCTTCCCTCTCTTCTTTTTCTTTATTTTTAATTTGCCAGAGGGCGTGTGTGCTCAATGGAGACAGACAGAACGGGGGTGGGGATGGGGTGAGAAACACTCTCCCTTGGAAGATGGTCACACTGTACTTCCTTCTCCATCTGTCTCTCCTTTAGGGACTTTAGGCACCCATACACATGAGCCCAGCGTGCTTTTTTAAGCCTCTAGGCCCCAGACTTGAACCACCCGTCTGACCACATGGGATCCAGCTGTCTTAACCACCAAACCACTGGCTGGCTCACCTTTCTTCTCCTAATAAGCCCACCAGAAGTTCATCATGGGGAGGCTCCACTTTGGTCACCTTAATCCTAATTTCCTTCTAAAGGCCCCACTATTTAGCACCATAACTGGATCAGGTTTTCATTGTCTTAATCCCATTACAGTAGCTTAGTGCATGAATGGGGGGGGCACATATTCAAACTCTAGCAGAAGGGAAACTCACAAACCTTCTGTGGGAACTGCTTCCAGTGGGCCTTCTCTTGGGCCACTGGGAGGAAGAGGTGTCTCTGCCCCTCCAGCACCCCAGGTCAGCAGAGGCGGGAAGGCACTCTGAGAGGGGTGAGTGCTGCCTGGGACGGTGCGGGAAAGGCCCCCGTGCCCCCAGGGCAGTGTCCATGTGGCAGCTATGACCGTGCAGGCCTGACCACTGACCCGTGTAATACCCTTCCACTGGCAGAGCGAGGACGGCACCTACACGGGTTTCATCAAAGTGCATTTGAAACTGCGGCGGCCCGTGACGGTGCCCGCTGGGATCCGGCCCCAGTCCATCTATGACGCCATCAAGGACGTGAACCTGGCAGCCACCACGGACAAGCGGACGTCCTTCTACCTGCCCCTCGACGCCATCAAGCAGCTGCACATCAGTAGCACCACCACGGTCAGTGAGGTCATCCAGGGGCTGCTGAAGAAGTTCATGGTCGTGGACAACCCCCAGAAGTTTGCACTTTTTAAGCGGATACACAAGGATGGACAAGGTACCAGGGAGGGAGCGCCCACCAGAAACTACCTTCTCCATCTGTCCCCGCCCTCCTGCTACAGCCCCTGCTGGCCTGGGGAGAGGGGACATGGGCTGCTCCCGTGCCCTGGGCGTCCAGCTGTCCATGTGGCATTCAGGTCTGTCCAAGAGCCACTCTCGGAATCAGGCAGGCCGAGAGTGGAGAGCTTGCGAGGACAGCTCGGCCGCCCATGGTGCGCCAGCTCCGTGTGTGACGCAGGGAAACCCACCCTCGTGCCCCTTTCTAATCTGCACAATGGGAGGAATCCGCCCACCACTCCTCATCTTTGGTCTTTGGGGGATGATGTGAATGGAAATCTGCTTCAAATTCTGAGCAGGCATCGAAGATAAAAGGTTACAGTCCTGTGTGTCCTTGCCAGGCTCAGCCCACTGGCTTGGAAGGACCGGATGTCCATTTCTGATTATAAGTCCCCTGCCTCTGTGCTCCCAGTTCTGCCCTGCCCAGCCAGGCCCCTTTCTTTCTGGTGAGCCCAGCCCCTCTCTTGGTTCACAGTGCTCTTCCAGAAGCTCTCCGTGGCTGACTGCCCCCTCTCCCTGCGCCTGCTCGCTGGGCCTGACACTGACGTCCTCAGCTTTGTGCTAAAGGAGAACGAGACTGGAGAGGTGGAGGTAGGTCTGAGCTGCCTGGGGCATGCTGGGTAGGTGCAGGTGGGTGCTGCCCTATACTGCATGGGGGCCGAGCAGCAAGACAGCTGAAGAACCGGGCTGGGTGAGCACTGGGCTGGAAGTTCATGTTTTAGCTAGGATCGTAAATACCCTGGGCAGCAAGTCAGGGCCTGTGTCTGGCAAGGCTTATGGAATAAAAAGATGCCATGTGCTTTATTTCTGGAAACGAAAGTGGAAGGGACCGAGGAACTCCCTGTGAGCAAGCCCAGGCTGGTTGTGTTCCAGGATGGCTTATGGCCCAGCCAGCTCTACCTCTGGGCTCCACCGGGTAGAGACCTTCTTGAGCCGCCTGTCTCTCCCTGTTCTTAGATACTGACCGCCTTCTCCAAGGGCAGCTAGCCAGTGTCTGGTCTTGTGGTGTCAACTGGGGTGAAACCAGGCAGTGCCCCTGTGACCTGAGATGCTTGGAGGAGTCTTTGAGGAGTGATGAGGGCAGGAGAGGTTTCAGCAGGCCACACGGTGTTCCGTAAAGGCCTCGCTTTTTTTTTTT